TGCTGCTGCTGCTGCTGGGCGCCGCGTGCCTGCTGCCCCGGAGCGCGCAGGTGAGGCGGCTGGCGCGCTGCCCCGCCACTTGCAGCTGCACCAAGGAGTCCATCATCTGCGTGGGGTCCTCCTGGGTGCCCCGGATCGTGCCCGGCGCCATCAGCTCCCTGTGAGTGGGGCCCCGCCCCGCGCCCCGACCGGCCCCCCACTCCCCCACTCCTGGGGTCGGGGTGGGACGCAGGGCTGGAGGATGGAGGGACTCCAAGCCCCGGGAGTCCTGGTCCGCAGTCGGGGTGTCCATCCCAGTGTTTTCTCCGTGTGGTCCGCGGGCCACCTGCATTGGGCACCCCCTGCCCCGGGGGAGGGGAGCTCGTGCAGATTCGGGGGAGCCCCACGGCGAGGGGGGGGTCCTCTGCCCCCTCTGAGACAGCATTGGCGTCTCTTGTGTATGTGTGTTATGGGGGGGGGCGGCCCTGGGGTGCGGTAAAGTTTGGGAGGCTCGTGGCGTGTGGGGGTGAGGTGTGGGAACAGCCAAACGTGACCGGGTTGAGAGCAAAGCCGAGATGGGGAGGCGGGGGCGGGGAGGGGGTTCGGCCTGCGCTGTGGGGTTCCCCCCATCCCCGGCCCGGGTTGGCACCTGGGCCTCCTCCCGACCTCTCCAAACTGCAGGGCGGGCCAAGGCATGCTGGGGTGGCCCCACACGGAGCACCGAGGGGCTGGCAGAGCCTGGGGAGCCTGTGGGGCTGCCCAGCTCGTCGCCAAGTGGGAAGTCGACCTGACTTCTTGCCCCGAGTTCGAGAGGCTTTCTGTCCCCCTTTCCCCCCACCCCACCCCACACACCTCATAGGACTTTGGCTGCTTTTTTTGGTGCTGGAAGAATTGACTAGAAAGGCCTCCATTATTATTATTATTATTAATTATTTGGTCATCTTCTAAGAGAGACAGCTTCAACTTGGCCTCCACGCAGCCATTCAAACCAAATGTGACCCGGGGGTCACATTTCTCTGTCCCAAAGAATGGGGCTCCTGCTGGATGATTCTAATACTCAGGAGGGATGCTGGGGTGCCCCCCCTTAGGTGTCTGATTAGGGGACCCCCCCTCCAGGATGACATTGCTTGTGCTTTACCCTGGGAAACGTCAGGCCTGTGTGATTCCTACTACTGTCCAGTCAAATGACATGGAAGATTCTGGAAATTCTATTTCCCCTTGTTAACTTCTTGAGATCAGCAGCGGTTTGATTAATTTACCTGTTAATGGAAATAAAGTCTTGAGGTCCTGCTGTGGCCAGAAAGGGTAAGGGAATAACCTCCTCCCTCCCCTCCCAGCCAGAGCACAAACAGAGCCAAACTTCTTGACCCAAGTTGACCATTTTATCTGGCAGATGGCACCACTTCTTACCACACAGTCAGGTTCAGGTGTCTGAGTTTCCCCCCAAGGCTTTCACAGTGCATTTAATCAGAAGTGCTCTGAGTGTCTTTCAGGGATGCGTTCCCAAGGGGGAATGTCTAATCCTACCCTAGAGTTTCGTTGGCCAACATTAACTTGGTGTCTGTACAAACAGAATCTTGGGCAGAGGTGAAGCAATTACCCAGCTTCAGCAGGGCTCTCCTGGTAGTGAAGCTGGGGGATTGCTTTAAGCTGACTGAGCTAATGTCTGTGGAAGGAGCCAGACTGACAGTTTTCTGTTAGCCAGACTAGTCTTCATATTGATTAAGTCCACTGGAGAATGGCTTGTCTCTCCCCCCCCCCCCAATGCCTCCCTCTCCCCCAACTGTGTGAGCCTCAGGCCAACAAAGAAGAGAGTGAAGTTCAGGTAGAAGGTGAGGCTGCTGTCCACCTAGCCTGGCGCTGCCTAAAAAACCTGGGCCTTGTTTCCTCTCTCCTTTGCCTGCAGGAGCCTAGTAAATGGAACGTTTTCGGAAATCAAGGACCGCATGTTTTCCCATCTGCCTTCCTTACAGCTGCTGTGAGTATGGGACGGTCTACCTGTAAAATAGGGGCTCCTGAAAGGTGGTTCTTGCAAGGCTGGTCTTTGCCTTTTTGGTGTCAGTACTTCCATCCACCTACCAGCTCCCGTTGTTAGCTTGCCCCATGGTATCCTGGACAAAATGTTAAGGCTCTTTTGCTCATCTTGGTACACGGTTTCTCTGCTGTAGATCCCGACTTGATTTGGAAAGTGAGTGTATTAATCACACATCCAGAACTTTACCTCAACAAACTCCTGCCCAAACATTTCACTTTAAAAGAAACTTATGTTTTAAAATGTTAATGCTACTTTGGAGACAGGAGTGTTTCTGGTTTATGGAGTACTGAAACAGGCAGCCTACTATTCATTATTTGCATAATTTTATCTCATTAACATATCACCCCCTCCAGAAGCATATTTTTATTCTTCTACTGATAGGAAACTGGTGCTCAGGGAAGTTATTTGTTCAAAATCACAGAAGCAGGATTTGAGACCTAGGGCCAAAGCCCACACTCAAAACTACTCTGTCCCAGCAATTAACATTTGCTGATAAAAAGAGATCTCTAGCTGGGCACTGGTGTAATCCTAGCTACTCTAGAGGCTGAGATCTGAGGATCTTTATTGGAAGCCAGTTCAGGCAGGAAAGTCTGAGACTTTTACCAGCAGCAAAGCTAAATTGGAGGTGTGGCTCAAGTGGTACAGCACTAACTGTGAGTGAGAAAGTCACACTCAAGCCCCAGTACTAGCACACTCAAGGAAGGAAGGAGGGAAGGAAGGAAGGAAGGAAAAAAGGGAGAGAAAAAAGCCCCAAAGCTCTTTTCATAAGCCAATTAATGACAGTTGGTCTTGAGTATATATCAAAGTCTCTTGGTTATATTGGTTTTAAAATTTTTTAATGGAATTTTAAATTTAATTTTTTAATTTTAAATTAAAAAAATGGAATCATATTTTTCCTTCTACAGCAAGCAATAAGCTACAGAAAAATATAGAGACATACAGATCACTTCTTCTCAATAAACTTCCTGGGCATAGTTTTGTTAGTGAGGTATTACATGCCTACTTATAACATCATGCTTATTTTAAAGTCAGAATTGTCTTAGAATTTCAATAATATTAAAATATACTTTCCATACAATAGTAGGAATAGAAATATAAATTCTTTTTTGAAGTAGAGTCTTGATACATAGCTCAGCCTGGCTTAGAACTCTCTTTCTCTCTCTTTTTTTTGTCCATCATGGGGCTTGAACTCTGGGCCTGGGCGCTATCCCTCAGATCTTCAGTTCAAGGCTAATGCTCTACCACTTGAGCCATAACACCACTTCTGACTTTTTCTGTTTATGTGGCACTGAGGAATTGAACCCAGGGCCTCATGCATGCGAGGCAAGTACTCTAACACTGAGCCACCTTTGCAGCCTTTCTAGAACTCTCTTATGTAGCACCAAGCTGGCCTTGACCTTGACATCCTCCCATTTCTGCCTCCAGAGTGGTGGGATTAATTACAGGTGTGCAAGACTACAATTTTGGGTATCTTTAGTCCTAAGTGATGTCTATAGAGATTACATTGACTTTTACCAAAGGAGCTTAAATGGTAATTCAAATAGAAAATTGCAGTGATAGTCTTCAGAAGCACTCTAACACTAGAGTCACACCTCTAGCCCTTATCAAACTTTTATTACTTTCCTTATCAAACTTTTACTGCCATTTCTCATGAGAATGTAAAGTGGAATAGAAAGAATTTTTTTAATTGTTTATGCCCTCAGGATGTGATTTTGTTTCAGTCATTTCATTTCTCTGGGCTCAAATTTCTATAAAGATAGAGCTGGATTCGATCCTTTCTGATCTCGGATTCCATGCTTGTTTGTGTCAGAAAGCACACATTGGCTGTTTAATTGTACCTAGCATGAAAATGTTTCCAAATAACTGTTACCAGTTCATATTTACCAACACCCTCAGGGGAGAAGGAAGTAGAACATCAAAGATGAGCAGAAAGTCTGTCTCAAAGGAATCTACTTCTTGTGGTCTTTGTCTGCAGTAGTTTGTGAACCCCTTTGGGGTCCTGCTGAGTTGTCCGGAGGATCAGAATCTGAACATAGCAAACGAAACAAAAGCAGCTTCACTGAGAGACTCCACATCTCTGCATTGAACTCTGTCTTATTTTCAGGTTGCTGAATTCAAACTCATTCACTGTGATCCGGGATGATGCCTTTGCTGGACTTTTTCATCTCGAATACCTGTGAGTGTTATGGTTTGGGGGGAGGGTGTGGGTTCATGGTCAGTGCCTCTGGGAAGTTGGATGTGTTGTGCTCTTTGCCTCGTTGGAGGGGGCCAATTGAGAAAAAAACCTTCCTTGTCTAGGTAGTACTGACCTTTGGTAGTTCATTTGCTTATAAACACATTGGGACTGGATGGGGCTGGAGACAAATCAGGAGAAAGGAAACAAAGAAGGAAATGTGCTCATTCATTCTCCGCTGACACTTAATTTATCAAGTAGTGAGCAGAATTGGAAATCGTGTTGGATATTTTTACCTCTCCTAACTACGATGGATTTGCTGATCACCCAGAAATAGAGATGAAGGGCTCTGAGGGTTACTTATTTTTAAATGAAGTTTCCCTATTTGGGGATGAAACCATGTGTGTTTAACTCAGCTATCTCACATCCTGTTTGTGATTTCTGCTGAGGGTCTAACCAGATTTTTTTCTTTTCTTTTGAAAAAGGAGAGAGGCTATGTGCAGCTGGAGGTTCAAAATCCCAATTTAATTCCATTATTGGATACTTGCTATTTACCTAATTATAGTCATCTTTACAGATAAAGCGATTATATTTCATTTCCTATCATCAATCCTTTGGTGATTTTCTTTGCCTGCTGCTTCAGGGATGCAGACAGCAGGCAGTTCCTGTGAGTTTATTAGTGAAACACTGCCTGAAAATGTTGCTTCTGAAAGACTTGGAGATTTTTTTTTTTTACAAGTTGATTTGAAAAGTAGATGTCTAATAAAATAAAATATATATTTGTTTTAAAAAAAGAGGGGATCAGGGACTGGGGATGTAGTTCAGTGGTAGAATGCCTGCCTAGCACATACAAGGTGTGTGGTTCTGCTCAGTACCACAAACACACACGCACACACTCACACTCACACCCACAACCACACACACACACATATGCCCGCAATCACACAAATGCTAAAAATGTCATTTTTCTGTCTTTAGATGTGGAGTCCCCCCCCCAACCCATCCAGATTAGCTTTGTTCTTACGTCAGTCTCTCTCTCTTTCCGATCTTTTCCCCCCTCCAGTCCTTGTACCTTTGTACTAGAAAGTTTGTGATAACACTAATCCTGTGATCCGATGGGATTTCCTTCCTTAGCATTCAGAGGACTTTGAAAACCCCATCTCTGCTTTCTTATCTGAGGCCAACAGGTAGATGTTCGGATTGTAGACACATCCTTAGCAGAAGAAAGCTCTCTGCTAGTTTGGGGCCTTGGAGATGGATATGCCTGCAGGATTTCTTTTTCCAGAGTAGACATAAATATGTATGTTCTCATAATCCAGTACCGTGATGTGTGACGTGTGCTTGATGTGCAAAGAATATCACAGCTGCAGGGGCTGAAGCTACTGGTATCCACCAAAGCCTGTTCATAGCCACAGTGGTAGCAGAGCAGAGTTGTGCATTTCCCCTTGTGGGAGATTCAGCCTTACAGGCTAGGGTGTTGTTTCATTTTATCCTGAAGTCTAGTACCTGAGCCACCATGCGCCAGAAAGCATTCAATGCAAGAACCGCTTCATTAATGGTGTCGTGTAGACGTGGCCAAGATTCTCCTTTGGACTTCTCATCACAGGCTGCCTCACCTTTGATTTAACTCTCTGTGATGCTAGGGAGAATTGGTGGCACATTTGCATTTTATCTCATATGCACAATTTGTAGTTTGGCAGTGTGATTGATGTAAGATTCAGTGTGCAAGCTGTTTACCGTTTTAGTCCAGAGGAAAGAAAGCTAGCCCCTGATCAACTTTTCTAGTGGCCTAGAGGTCTTCAGAACATTGGTGCCTCATCATTTCTTCAAAGATCAGGCTGTGTGGGAAGCTGTGAGCACAAGGTTGCTGAAAGCCAAGCTTAATGGAACTCTCCTTCATCTACATTGTAATATAGCTAGGCATTGGTGGCTCATACCTGTGAGCCTAGCTACTCAGGAAGCTGAGCTCTGAGGATCACAGCTGGGCATAAAAGTGTGTGAGAGGGCTGGGAAGGTGGCTCAATGGTAGAGCGCTTGCCTTGCATGCTTGAGGCCCTGGGTTCGATTCCTCAGCACCACATAAGCAGGGGGAAAAAATCCAGAAGTGGCACTGTGGCTCATGTGGTAGAGTGCTAGCCTTGAGCTGAAGAGCTGAGGGACAGTGCCCGGGCCCAGAGTTCAGGCCCTACGACTGGACCCAAAAAAGAAAAAAAAAAGTGTGTGAGACTCTTTACCAAATGCCACAAGTGGAGCTGTGGTTCAAGTGATAGAGTTCCAGCCTTAATTGGCAAACTAAGGCCCTAAATTCAAGCCCCAGTACCAGCGCATACACGTGCGCACATGTGCGTGCGTTTGCACAGAGACACACAGACACAGACACAGATAAGCAAACAGACTATAATAAAGAGATATAAAACAATGGACTATGGGATTGTGATATTAACAAAAATGTGAATAGCCAAGTATTGGGAACTAATTTTGAGAGGGGCTGAGCAGGGAAAATGGCTGGAACCATTCCTGTCTAACAGACAAGGGAGCCTCTTGCCTCTGTGTGGTACATGCTCCCCCTCCCCAGATGTTTTTACCCATGTTGCAGCTCTGAATTTACATATGACCGTGATGCTGTTGTTGTCATGGGGGGAGGAGTACAGACACAATCATGTGCGAGTAATCTTGCCCCCACACACCAACTCTTTGGTGGAGTTTGGAGTGGCTCAGTCTTCAGAGACTCTGCAATTCCTGGTTGCTTTGGGATGTCAGTCTCAGAGCATGCTAATCTCATTTTGAGAGATATTAAGCAGAGAAAGTTCTGTTGAATCGTTCTGCTTTCCTCCTCAGGTTCATTGAAGGGAACAAAATAGAAACAATTTCCAGAAATGCCTTTCGTGGCCTGCGGGACCTGACTCACCTGTAAGTCCTTCAACATCCTTGTAAGTCCTTTTGTGTGTGGGATAAGAGTCACCTCCGGATGACTCTCTTTTCCTTGACATTTCCATAAGGGAGCATTCCCTGAACAACACTTACTTTCCAATGATTCTAGAACTTTCTACATGGTCCATGGAAGTATTGCAATCATCACATAGTTGGGGTTCTTATGTCCCCATCATAATGCTCTGCTCTGGGGACAGGGCACGTGACCGCCTGTGATGAAGGGACCCAAGGGGCCTGGTCTAGGAGAGAGTGGGAAAGAAGCAGAGGTCGCACCTACTTGGCACCAGATGCAGGGCTGGGTGCATGGGGGAGCTTTCTTTCCCGCCACATGTGATCATCTGTGAGCCCATTTCACAGATTTGGGAGCTGAATGTTACCTGACTTCCCGAAGGATGTCAACCAGAGGATCAAAATGAGGAAAAAGTAGAATAGAGATGTCTTTGTGCTTCCTCTCATTTGAATGCAAATCACTTTTTCTTTTATGTTGGATTAATCTGTGGTTTCAGCTAAACTCTCTGGTTCTTTAATAGCTTTCTGGAGACAAAAAAAATTAAACAAATTGATTTGAATTGACATATCAGAACGAAGCAAGTACACACATTGAGCAAATTTAGAAAACTGGAAGAAATTGTGGCTGTTTATGAAAATGCAAAAATAGTTATTGTCTCAGTGGGAGTAATGTATTAGCTAGGATGCAGGCTCAATTTGCACGATAGATATTTCAAGTCTGAGTCAGATAACGTGGCTCATCTCTGGGGCTGGCCTGTCTGCAGTAAAGAGAACTGGGAAATTGACCTGCTTTGAAGGTGGGTGTTAGGCAGGGGCTGTGGTATCTTTGGGTGTCAGCCTGACAATAGAGTGTGGACAGAGCCCCTTGCCCAGTGAGCCCTCAACCTGGCACAGGTGCCTTCTGGGTGTACACAGCAACACTGGTTTCTGGTTTCTGGTTTCTGGCCACCAAGCAGAGGCTCTGCTTGAACTAGAACTCAGAGTTTGGAGAGTGAGGAGGTACAGGAATGATGGGGCAGGCCCACCCATCCTCACTAGCACAGTCCATGTGGGAGAATGTTAGTCCCATTGATATTCCTGAGCTATGTTTTCTTCTCTTCCTATGGAAACCTTTCTTCACAGCCTGGAGTTTTCTTCACGAAATCCCCACGTTCTTGGGAGGCTAACATTGTTCAATTTGGAGTCCCTCGGACTTGAGTTTATGAATCTTGCTTAGCTTTTCAGAGTTCTAGTTTCCTTATCCTTAAAATAGGGATGGTTGTACTGATTGCACAGACTTTCTGCACAGACGAGTTAGTAATGCTGGCTTGAGAAATATCTGCCCACATCCTGCCATGCGTGCTTAAGGTGTGGTCATTCCCTCCCTGGGCTCACTGAGGAGCCTCGGCTTTCTCTCCTAGGGTTGCTGAGTAAGTAAGTGTAAACCATTTGGCAGTTGGGAAGGCCAGACAGCGGCTGCTAAAAGGACAGCTGGGGGTGTCTGGAGAGAAACAGCTGAGGCCGAGTAAGTCTGCTTCCCAGAAGTCAGGAAGAAGGGGCTTTGTTTGTGAGCAAAAGTGCAGGACAGACTGTGACCCTAAAGCAAAGCCCACGTGCCTGGCTGAGCTAGTCTAATCTGCCCTGGTTCCTGAGGGTTGAACATGCAAGTATCATGCATGTTTGTGGGACGATAGTACATGGACTACACATGTGTGAGTGTGTTAACTTCGCACATGTGCATATGTGTCTTATGTGTTAGCACACTTGCATGGGTGCAAGAAGAACCTTTCTGGATGGTATCAGGAAGCGCAAGTATGGGGGATCAAGGAACTCTCCCATGTGGGTACAGAAGGTGTTGCGCATGTTAGAGGGAAGCAGTTTATCTCAGGAGTATTACCTGCCTTCACTCCCTCTGCAGCCTCACTGCCTGGGTGCCCAGAGCCCCAGACTCCCAGTGCACCCCATGCATACCCAACTCATCCCACCGCCGGGCTTTCTTCTCACATCCTTTCCTTTGCCTATGATGCTGTTTCTTCTCCCCTCAGTCTCCTGGAACCTGCCTTTTTTCCTTCAGAGTTTAGAGCATGGCCCATCTCCCTCTTGAAACCCTGTCTGACATCTTTTGTGCCTCTGTCCACTGGTTCCATGCAACCCTTCACCATGTCCCCTAGCTGCATGGGTTGATCTTATTTCCTGGATGTTAGATTTCTCTCCCAGGAGTGTGGAGTGGAGTGCTCCTTGAGGGCCAGAGTGGTCATGGAGGCTAGACCTTTGCACCCTCCCCTTAATGCAGTTCTTCTCCTGTGTGCAGCCCAGGCCAGATCAGCAAGACCTACTGTGATTCTCTGGAGATCAGGGGCTTCCTTCCTAAGCTGGGTTTCTGTATGCACTTTGCTTTCCCAGAAAAGTTAGCAACTTTCAAACTTGTCCCCTCTAGACTGAGATGTATCAAAACTTGTATTACATTTGCTTAAAGCATGAGTTCATCATCTCCCTTTATTAAACCTGCAATCAGAGAAAGCCTCAGCTTTAAACTCCACTCCTGTTCTTACCTGGAGCAGGTAAAGAACGTGTAAATGAAGTATCTGACTTTTATCTAATATGGACAGACCCCTTTTAATCTGTAAGGAAACAGATCTATTTCTGGGCATCCAGTGAAAGAACCATGCCAATCAGTAACTAAGATTTAGGACATTTGTTTTCCTGCAGCCCCAGGGACAGGGAGCTGTTAAGTAGTTTTAGAAATGAAGTATTCAGTGCCATGAATTTGTGGACGAAATGAAGTTGAAGGGGCTAAGTTAAGCACTTAGTGAGAGGGCAGGCAGCCATCTAAGAACTCTGCTTTCTGAACTCGGAATTGCAAACCTGGAGGGACTGCTCAGCCTCCTGCCTTCAGCTATTCAGTGTATTTTTCAATATAGTAACTTTCAGTGAGCCAAATTTTTAAGCTAAGTTGCGTGTATATGTGTATATTTGGGGGAGTGGGGAGGGCCGGGGGGTGGTGTCTGGTACTGGATCTAGAACTCAGAGCCTCAAGCTCTTGATTTGCTTTTTCATTCAAGGCTAGAATGCTACTACTAGAGCCATACCTCCACTTCTGGCTTTTTCCCCCTGGATAATGGGATATAAAACTTCCTTGGATTTGTCTCCTTGGGCTGGCTTCAAATTGTGATCCTCAGATCTCAATCTCCTGAGTAGCTAGGATTACAAGAGTGAAACACTGGTGCCAGGCTTTAGCTAGATTTTTTTTTTTTTGTCAGTCGTGGGGCTTGAACTCTGGGCCTGGGCGCTGTCCCTGCACTCTTCGGCTCAAGGTGAGCGCTCTACCGCTTGAGCTACAGCGCCACTTCCGGTTTTCTAGTGGTTTACTTGAGTTAAGAGTCTCACAGACTTTCCTGCCCAGGCTGGCTTTGAACCGTGATCCTCAGATCTCAGCCTCCTGAGTAGCTACGATTACAGGTGTGAGCCACCGGCTCCCAGCTCAGCTAGATTTTTTTAAACCTCTAATTAGCTGCAACTTTTTGTACTTTGCTTTCCAAAGTACAAAAAAAGTGCCACCATCAACCAGAAAAAAAATGTTCTTTTTCTAATTTCCAAAAGCTACTCTGAATATGTTCAGACTGATTTTATTTTCAGCTTATTTTCCAACACATAAAAAATGTACAAATATATCATTTAGAAAAGCAAGGTAAAACAGTACATAGAATTCTATTTTTATCCATTTGTGGTCACCTGGATAAGAAGAGCTAGGTATGGATTTCTCCATACCTAGTTGATAATCTTGAAGCAAGAATGTTTGGTTAACAAATAGGCTCAAACTTTCTACCATGTCTATCTAGTTGACTCCTAATCACTTCCTTAGTCCTCATTCAGAAATTATACATTAGGGGACCATGTACCACTAAATTCACATATGTTTTAAAGTGGTTTATCATTGCTCCATTTTGCTGCTGAGACTCATATAAGTAGAAGGAAACAAGCAGATGTCAGTTTCTAGAATAACTCACATTGGCATGAGGTGCCAGGGGAAATCTCAGACCTGCTGTACCTCTCCCTACTTCAGCCCCGCACTGGGGGCTTCCATCCATCTCAGCAGGATGATGACAGGCAATGCAGCATCCTGACTTATCACAAAAATGAGATGTTTCTTGGAGGTGGGGAGTAGACTCATATTGCAGAAAGGCCTTCCACACCAAGAACAACCATGCAAAATGGCTTCTCCTTCAGCTTCACTCATGGGCAGAGGAAACTGATTGTAACCAATGATTGTCTAAACATTTGTTTATTGATATTTTATCATATCATCTCTAGGGGTTAGATTTGAGTGTCTATAAGAGTCCACAGAGACATGAGGCCCAGCTAAGGGAGCTCACTTAAATGGAACATTAGGGAATGCTGGGGACCAGACTACATCTTCTGCCATCACTGTTGCTTTGATGCTCCATTCACTTGTCCTTCAAAGGTTTACCGAGTACTTGTTGTGTGCCAGCACCAACTTTTGACACATTGTGAACAGACCACATCATCTCTGTCCTTCTTTGGCCTATGTTTAGAGGGAATCCACCAAGAAACCAACACAGCCGGCACTGGTGGCTCACTCCTAAATCATAGTTACTCAGAAGGCTGAGATCTGAGGATCCAGGTTCAAATCCAGTCTCTTATCTCCACTTAACCCCCAAAGCTGGAAGTGGAGGTGTGGCTTATGGTAAAGCACTAGCATTAAGTGGAAAAGCTAAGGGGCAGTGCCTACACCCTGAGTTCAAGCCTTAGTACTGGTTGTGTACACACAAATCAACACAATCAAATAGATAATTAAGATGTGCATTGTGTCTTCTAATGAAGATCTACTGAATAGAGAGGTGGCAGAGGTCAGGAAGGTGGTAGATGGTTGAGGATGGACCTCAATGAGGCGGTGGAGGGAGCTGTTGGCTCTCTGGGGAAGAACTGTAGGCAGGGGAGCAGGACAAGGCCTCAAGCATGTCTGGGGAGGAGCAAGGAGGCTGGTGTGGCTTGATCTGAGCAGTGGGTGATGAGGCATGGTAGAATAGAGCAGTAGTGGAGAGACCTAGATCGGACATACCATCAAAGTGACTTAGGCTTTTGTTTCAAGAAACCTAGGAAGCCATCGGCAGTTTAACAGATGGGCACAAATAATTTAATAAGTGTTGTTTTAAAAACAAAACTAACCAGCCAGTCACCAGTGGCCCACTCCTGAAATCCCTGCTACTCAGGAGGCTGAGAATCGCAGTTCAAAGCCAACCTGGGCAGGAAAGTCTGCGAGACTCTTATTTCCAGTTAACCATCAGTTTCCCAGGAGTGGAACTGGGTGAAGCACCAGCCTTGAATGAAAAAGCTAAGGGACAGTGCCCAGTCCCTTAGTTCATGTCTGAGTGCTCCAGTATTGGGGAACACACACACACACACACACACACACACACACACACACAGAATCAGAAAGCTTACACACACACACACACACACACAGAATCAGAAAGCTTACACACACACACACACACACACACAGAATCAGAAAGCTTACATACACACACACACACACACACAGAATCAGAAAGCTTACAGTGTAATCCAGCATGTACATTATCTTCTTCTAGCTAAAGTCCCATCTTACAGGATTGATGAGGAAAGCCAGGGGCTGAGCCCCGCAGGGATCAGGATGTTTAGAGCTCCATTTAAGCTATTAGCTGTATTTAAAGGGACTTCAGAGTGACCAGGCATGAAGATAATAACCACATTAAAATGTGACTTTCTTTTTCTAGTTCTTTGGCCAATAACCACATTAAAGCACTACCAAGGGATGTCTTCAGTGACTTAGACTCTCTGATTGAACTGTAAGTAATGAAATTAAGTTTGCTTGTGCTGTCACTGGGCCCCAGTTAATCATATATTTCAACCCCCTTGGCTTCTTTACTGCAATAAAAATCAATAAAGTAGCATGCCCTGGGAAGCGGCTGTGTAGGTTTCATTGTGCTGGATTTGTCTACTTGATACTTAGCATCCTGAGACCAGTAGCAGATCAAGCTCTCTGGATGGGAAGTCCCATATCATAAACAATGTGTTCACTTGCTTTAGTGTCTAGTGGTTACTTCCAGCTGGACATAGGTTAAGAAGATCTTAAAAGTTTCACTTGTGTTTGTGAACACTGCCTTCCTGGAATTTCCCATTTTTAGGAGAACTGCCTGGGAAGGGGTGATGTTCTATTGTCCCTCCCATTTCACCATGCCTTGGGAACAATTTCAAGAGGGTTTGGAGAGGTGGTGGACAAGCCATCTCCAAGAGTTCTCTTTGTGCTGTGCAGTTCAAATCAGAAGCAGTCTGGGCGGGAAGTGGGGGTGGGGAGAAGGGTGGGGGGAGGAATCTATGAGACTCTTATTTCCAAGAAATTACCAAAAAAACCCCACAAAAAAACAGCCAGAAGTGGAGCTGTAGCTCAAATGATAGAATGCTAGCCTCCAGCAAAAGAAGCTCAGGGACAGTGTCCAAGTCTTCAGTTCAAGCCCCGGGACCTGCAAAACAATATAAAACAAACCCAAAACTACCAAAAAGCTGAAAGTAGCTCAGGTAGTAGAGTTGTAGCCTTGAGCAATAAATCTCAGAGACAGTGCCCAGGCCCTAAATTCAAGCTCTAGAACCAGCACACATGCACACACGCGCGCACACACACACACACACACACACACACACACACACAAATTCTACTTTTAGAGGAAGTTTTAATAAATCAGAATATTACTAATTCTAGTGTTTCATCTCACTAGATGTGTCTTATTTTCTTGTGTACATACGTGTGCTTTGTTTTCTTTTTTAGAGATTTAAGGGGTAATAAATTTGAATGTGACTGCAAGGCCAAGTGGTTGTATCTGTGGCTGAAGATGACCAATTCCACGGTGTCTGATGTGCTATGTATTGGTCCGCCAGAGTATCAGGAAAAGAAACTGAATGACGTGAGCAGCTTTGACTATGAGTGTACAACTACAGGTAGGCAAAGCCTATGTTATCCATGATGGATATTTACTGACATGGTACTGGGAATTGAGTGTAGACTACTAGCTCTATTTCTTTTTCTTTTTTGAAATCCTCTTTGATTCCCTCCCCTACCTCCTCTAGCTGGGGTCCAGGAGAAGTTCCCCTGCTTTGCCTGACCCAAAGATGGGTGTTTGGATGAATCACTTTGTTTTTCTTGTGCATGTCAATAGAATGTGAGGGAAAGTGAGTGGAGATGTTTTCTACACTAAAAGGAATGAATCAGTATGGTTAGATAAACAGCTCAGCCATTTTTGTTCACTACCTTGACTTTTGTTTTGATTCTTTACCAAATTCAAATTCCTTAGAGCTTTTTTGTTTGTTATGTATGCTTTTGCTTTTTTAAGATCACAGTATAAACATGGGTATGACAGGGGAGAACATCTTCAATGCAATAGGTTTCATGGGAAGGCAGTGCCAAGAAACCTGAATTATTTTGTTACCACCACTCTCTGGATTCAGTAAGATGATGTTTATTGGAAGTTTAATGCAGACTTTTTCCATCTACAAATTAGTTTCATAGTGCCATGTAAGAAGAGATAACTAGATAAATAAAACTGATGACAAACTAGGAAGTGTAAGTTGGCAGCTAACTGTTAAAGAGAAAAATCCACACTGAGGGAAAACTATAAAGGAAGTTTGACTTTGTTTTCCCAGCCACTGCCTCAGGGCGTTAGTTCATATAGACATTTTTTTCCAGTTTATAGAATAAAATTAACACCTCAATGTCCCAGCAGGTAGAGAGCAGTGAGGATCTCCATATAAAAGGCTCAGGCCCGTTACTATAGCTTCTAACGCTGGATATTAAAGAAGACAGGATCAATCCACAGTCTGAAGCCTCTCTTCTAGAAGTTTCTGCAAATAAACATTTATGCTGAGAGCTCATATTTCCAAAGCCTCAAGGCACGTTAGAAGCAAAGGGAATGAAAACTCAGATACTCAAAAATTCCAAAATATTACTTTTAAGCTAGACTTACTACCTCCTTTCCTCTCCTACCCGGCAAAAACCAAAGACCAAAAACCCACATGCTGAAAATGATTTCTGGATGGCTTTGTTTGTAGAGAAGGGACTCTACCAGTTCTGCTTTTTTCTCCCCCAGGAAACCTGAAGTCTGTAGTGTGTGTCCTTGTCACTCTGAGGGGCTCATTCAGCTGTGTAATTGGCAGGGGCTCTCTAGCCAGCTGAGGCCGTGTGAGGTTATTTATTGTACCAAAGAGCTACTATGATAAATCAGAGGTCATAGCCAATGTCAGTTGTGCCAAAAGGTGGCATTTGAGACCATTTGGTATGACGTGCTAAACCAGTGTTCTTTGGTACTCTTCTCGGCCTTTTCTCCATTTCTTTTTTTCTAGAAAGTTCTCTACACTCCCAAAGGGAGGTTGGCATTTCCCATTGCTCTGTTCACATTTGGCTACAGTGTGTAAAATTTAGTCTGTAGGCACTGACATGGGAGAGACCCGGGCATGGAGGATCATTTATACAAGGAGACATAGTTTCTCGTCTTAGGGCCTTTTGGATAGTAATAAAAATGGCCCAGCCATTGGGAATCGTTCATCAGAGAGGTGAGGGCTTGGAATCAAGGTAGCTAGGACCTGACGTTAGGATCTGTGGGGCAGTGTGAGCTACTGAGCATACACTTCAAGGCTTCTCTGGTCTTATGTACACACGTTTGTCTTTATTAGCGAGTTTTTTCTCATGTTTGGGAGTTAATACAGACTTTCTGGTCCCAGGGAGATGGCCATTCCAACTTTATTACCTTTGATGGAAAGGTGAGCTCTTTATCAGGTTAAAATGGTGGAACAAAGAATGAACCATTCGCAAATAAGGTTTCAGCTATGTAAGAATGAGATCAGTATGTTGTAAGCATTTGGGGTTTCCCTGATCAAGCGTGGGCTCTGGAGCTTTATCAAAGCACCTAGGAATGAAGGAGTGAGGATAAATAGAGGATGGAGAGTCTGACTGAAGAACTCAGGGAAACCTGCTTGTCCCCTTTGCTCAAGGCTTGGGAGAAAGCATATTTTCCCAGTGTGTTTTTTTCTCTCTTAGCTCAGATTTTCAGGAAAGAAGTAAATTTCATCACTCTCCGTTTTGCCTAGAGAGAAGAAGGCATCATTACCATCCCATTCCTCAAGAAAAGGGAATAATTAATTCCATACAGCCACCACTGGGCTGCTGGAGCTTTTCAGATTAATCACACTTCTTCTATCCCCTCCCCTTTGAGTCTATTTTTAACCACTCAAAAATCCCTGTTACCTAACAATGATTCCCTGTGTTAGGTGGATAATTCACTATATTCCTTAGAGGGAGTGAATTTTGCATCCTAATTGTCCTGTTAGCTTCCCCATTTCGGGGCTGATGAAAATGCAAAGAGAAATAATGCATTAATGTGCATTTTCTCTCCCCATAGGCTCAGCATCATGTATAATTTATATTCTTCCACTGCTATAAATAGTTAGGTAAAAAAAAAATCTGTTCATTCCAGTGAGAGACAAGCCTACATTGTCAAAGACCCAGTGGCACCATGAACTCAATACTGTGTCAATGGGAGTGGTGGCTTTTCTGCTTGAAAGTGCCACTAATATTTTGACACTAGTAAATGGATGTCACAACAGTATGTGTGTTCCCTGAGATCTTTCCACAGTGGTCACGCTTTTGAAACGGGATTTTAGATTGCAAGCTCAAAGTCCAGGAGTCCCGAGTTAGGTCTAGCCAATTGCCTCCATATTCCAAATAAAAAGACATGGAGAAGAACAGAAAAAGAAGAGTTACTGCATGACCACTATGTGAAGACAGTCATCTTCAGAGGTACAGACATTGGCTTTAGGTTAAATAGGGAGAAATGGCCTGGTGCTGGTGGCTTACACCTGTAATCCTGGCTACTCAGGAAACTGAGATCTGAGAACTGTGGTTTGAAGCCAGGTCAGGTAGCTTGCCTTGAGCAAAAGAGGCTCAAGGACAGCACCCAGGTTCTGAGTTCAAGCCCCAGGACTGGCATACACACACACACACACACACACATACACACACACACATACACACACACACACACACACACGAAGAGAATTGGAGGCTAGGGGTGATTAAGGTATGCTAAATTATGCAAAATTAAAACACTTCCAAATTGCAAGGGTGACCATCAGCTCAGTCTTTGTCCCAGGAGAATTCCAGAGAGGTTATTACTTTATAACTGGAGCAGATTAGGAACAAGGTGGTCTCCCATTTTTTGGTGGTTTGCTTTCAGATAATAAGAAGCCATTACCTGTTTGAGGACAGTTTGCCTTCCACACAGGTGGTTATTGCTGAATCTGGTCTTTCTTAGAGATTGCAAAGTTGACTATAACAGAGATCAAAGGGCACAGACTCAAAGTGGGAGGACTTCTAGTTAATTCACAGCAAATGCATCTTTTAAGTTGCTTGTTAGACTTTCAGTGTTTGGAAAAGGTGAATTAAGATGGGGGTTGGGAGAAGGTATGTAAATTCTTCTGCCCCTCCTGAAAAAACCATAAACATATACACACCAGTTGATGGCTTTGGGTCCTTTTCTTCTGTCTGTGTATCTTCTTCCTTTTCTTTTTATAGTGGGCCCAGGAGTCAAGTTTCTATTAATAATTAGATTTGTTACTGGGTATGGCGGCTCCTCCTCCTAGTTATTCAGGAAGCTGAGATCTGGAAGCTCATGGTTCAAGGCAGGCCTGGACAAGAAAGTTTGCTAAACTCTATATCCAAAATAACCCATAAAAAGCCTGGCTGGAGGTGTGGCTCCAGTGGTAGAGCACCAGCCTAGCAAGCAAGCCAAGCAAGCAAGGCAAGTAATTAAAGTAATTATAAGGGATGGCTTCAAGCCTTAGTACTGCCCCCCCCCCAAAAAAAAACCCTCACAAACCAACCAAACAACCCCACCCCACATGCACAAAGATTTGCTATTCAAGGGATTTAATAGTCTGTGTTGTGCCAGATAGTCAGTGTATGAGAAATGTTAGGAAATCACTGCTGGGGAAAATAAATTTAAATGTGCAAATCTAGCAAAATGCTCTCTATTCTGACAGCTCGTCTTCCTCCTGGAATCCCTCAATAAAAATGGAAAGTTTTTGCTCTGCACTTTAAACAGCCTCCATTTATGTAAGAGCTGGTGTTTGTGCAGCTTTGAGAATTAAGGGAGAGTCAGGAGACTAAAGGAGCAGGGACTCAAGAGCCATGGGCACCAGGAAGAGAGAGCTTCGAACGTTGCAGGCCGATGTGGTAGGCCTCTCAGGTCCCTAGGAAGGTGGCACAGTGTGCTAGTGTGCATCTCCCTCCTGCTCTGCCATCTGTCTGTGAACTCAGCAGCAGAACAACTGGCTTATGGCTTTTTGCCAGCATGTGTCTGTGTTAGTATAGGGAGATTACAGTTTGGGCTTGGGCCTGTCCCTGAGCTTTTATTTATTTATTTATGTCAACACTAGTGTTCTCCCACTTGAGCCACAGCTCCACCTCTGGCTTTTTGGTGGGTAAGTGGAAATAAAAGTCTCATGGAAGCCGGGAGCTGGTGGCTCACTCCTGTAATCCTAGCTACTCAGGAGTCTGAGATCTGAAGATTGCAGTTTAAAGCCAGCCTGGGCAAGAAAGTCCATGAGACTCTTATCTCCAATAAACCACTCAGAAAACTGGAAGTGGCTCTGTGGTTCAAATGGTAGAGCGCTTGCCTCAAGCTAAAAAGCTAAGGGACAATGCCCAGGCCCAGAAAAGTCCCATGGACTTTCCTACCCTGACTGGCACTGAACCACAACCTCAGATCTTAATCTTCTGAGTAGCTAGGATTATAGATAGATATATGCCTATAATCTGGCCCAGCAATTTATGACTTTTGTACTGGGTCTGCCAGTTTGTGTGTGTGTGTGTGGAGCGTGGAGGGGAGGAATAATTTATTTTTATGGTGAAGATGATAGACAGAGGTGTTATAGTTGCATAGGTCAGGTAATGAGTACATTTCACTTTGAACAGTATCACCTCTTCCCTGGTCTTCTTAGTCTCTGCCCAGCAACACTTCCAGGGATGGGAAGAATGGTAAGAGGGCTGTGAGCCCCTGGGGCGCTTTCCTGTCTCCAGCAGGTGCCTTAGTGCAATCATTGCTGCATATATCAAATCATGGAGCATCTGTACAGGCAGGTGCAGGCTGTCGGCTTCTATTCCCTAGTTCAGGGAACCTCTCATTTCACCCATCTGGAACCCCAGGCTCCATCTTTCTGCGCCAGGACACGGCTGCCCAGGCCCTTCCTGCTCTGCTGAGAAGGGAAGGCCAGACTGTTACAGCCATTTCCTTCACCACCTCTGTCGCCTGATACATGGCAGGCTGCAGGGACTGCTTTGTTGGCTTCCCCACCCCTTGCCTCTGCCTGTGGCATTCAGCAACCCTGCCCTGCGCTGCAACCTTCGAAGCAGGCCTGGGATCAGACAGACCAAAAGGAGTTCAATACGCTTCAACCGTGTCCCCCAGGGAGAAGCCCTGGGGTAAAGTTAACACGGCTAGGGTGTTGCACCGAGCCAAGTGCTGGCAAGCCTGCCAGGAGATGAGAGAGAAGTGGAAGAGAGGTTATTGGTCCAAGGTCACTCAGAGAAGGTGGTAGCTCCGCTCCAGCGTCTTCACTGAGATAACCACTAACATGGACAGTCTCTCAGGCTGGGCAAGGAAGAGGAGTTGGGCTGTCTGTTCTGGGATCTCACATCTGTTTTCATGAATGAGTCCAGCCCTGAGTTAGGCATTGCCACCCCATGACCTGTCAAGTCCTCCCACGTTGGCCCCAGGGAACCGAGACTGGAAAATTGGCTAGTTCCGGGTCTCCAGGGTGGCCAGTGGCTTCAGGATGTCTACCTCCAGGCACTGTTGACTCTGGAGCCTCTCAGTCCTAACCGCCTTCTCCCTAATCCCGCTGTGACCACCATCTTGCTTCTGCTCGTATTGTGTGTGTGTGTGAGTGTGTGTGTTTGTGCGTGTGGTACTGGGGTTTGAACTCAGGACCTGGTACTTGCTGGGCAGGTGACCACTTAGGCTATGCTCTCAGCTCCCTTTTTGCTTATTTTTCAAACATTTTGCCTGGGGCTAGCCTTAGACTTCAGTCCTCCTACCTATGGACCTCCTGCTTAGTGTAGTTGGGATGACAGATATATACCACTACCCTTGGCTTGTTGATCAAGATAGATGTGATTAGTTCCCCACACCTGGGATGACCTTGAACTGAATTTACCCCCCCACCCTCTCGCCCCTCCTCCCCAGCCTGTACCTTGAGAGTAGCCGGGATTGCAGACATTGCTCCTAGACCTTCTGTGGCCATGTTCCTCTGGCATCTCCCTCCTTTAGTCACCCTGAGCAGCCTCCTGGGTATTGGTCTCCCAGACCATCTTTGATGAGCCTTCCCAATCAGCAATTATTTCTTGAGTAGTTACTGTGGACTTGAGCTGTGACAGGCTTGGAGAAGTGGAAGACTCAGGTTTAGGGTGTTCATTCACAGCCCACTGGCTGCATGGTACTCAGTGTCTCTGGGCTCTGGAGCATGGCTGAAAGGGCTCTAAGATATCCAGCGTACTCTGATGTCAGTGTTTGTAGTCACGATGTCAGTGTTTGTAGTCACGGTGACTGCTCAGATTTAGATAACATGACCCATGCTGAGCTGCATGGGTCAGGGAAGGCCTTGGAGGAGACGAGGTTTGAGAGGGGTTGGGAAGGGCGGCATGAGAGAGAGCCAGGCATTCCCTGTGATTCTGTGTTACAGCCTGGGAGTGTCCCCAAGGAACAACCCAACCTTGCCTTGAACCATCTTTGGTCAACAAAACAAAACCGAGCAACTTAAGCTTTACTAATTAATCTCTAGATTCATCCGGTTCTTCCCACATCCGCCATTCCTGCTCACACTGTGCCTCGACAGTTATATGACCCCCGACCTGGGTTTCCCATAGCCCGGGGGAGCAGTATGGACTCATCACATAGATCCTTCACCACTGTAAGGAGTATGAGGTCTCCACATGGGTGGCTTTGGTTTCCAGACACATAATGTAACCCTGTGCCAGAGTGCAGTGCTCGTTCTGAACCTGTAGGGGCGCTGTGCTCAGCAGGGATGCACAATCCCAGGCAATTACAGGGTTGGGTAAATCAGGTGAGTTTCACAAAGCTAAGCAGGCTTCTTCCTCACAGGGGTTGTTCTGAGAGCAGGAGTCTAGCATTTTCCAAACTCACTGAACCCCTTAGTCTCGGAGGTACTCACATGACAGCTTCCAGAATATCTCTGTAGCCTCCTTTCTGCCATGTGGTGTGGAAAGCCAGACATCACCAACTGTGCTTAAAGCTTCCAGTTCCTGTCACCACGCTTGTGAAACTGTTTATTTCCAGGAAGCTGTTTATTTAGTCTGACGACTCTGTGTGTGTGTGTGTGTGTGTGTGTGTGTGTGTGTGTGTGTGTGTGTGTGTGTGCCGCTTCCCCACAAAAGTTTTTTTTTTGTTTTGTTTTGTTTTTGGTCATGGCTCTTGAACTCTGGGCCTGGGCGCCGTCCCTGAGCTCTTCAGCTCAAGGTGAGCGCTCTACCACTTGAGCCACGGCGCCACTTCCTGGTTTTCTGGTGGTTAATTGGAGATAAGAGACTCACGAGGACTTTCCTGCCCAGGCTGGCTTTGAAGCACAGTCCTCAGATCTCAGCTTCCTGAGTAGCTAGGATTACAGGTGTGAACCACTGGCGCCCAGCTCAGAAGGTTTTGATGATCATTTATTTTTAAATACCCGTTCCTAGATTTCGTCGTTCATCAGACTCTGCCCTACCAGTCGGTGTCAGTGGATACGTTCAACTCCAAGAACGATGTATACGTGGCCATCGCACAGCCCAGCATGGAGAACTGCATGGTGCTGGAGTGGGACCACATTGAGATGAATTTCCGCAGCTATGACAACATCACAGGTGTGTTGAGACTTTCCAAGGACGGTTGCTGTGGGGTCAGGCTGGCCTAAGGAAGGAGGCACCCTGCACCAGGTGGAGGGAGGGCTTGGCGTTCTAGCTGGGTTGGAGGGAGGACAGCATTCCAGCTATGGGTCACTTCCATGTTATTTATGCATCCTCCTCCTCAGCAGATCTGAAACCTCAGGGGGGGAACTGTTTACTGTTGGGGACTGACTCTTCAATGCCACTTATGGTTGAAGATTGTTTTGTTTGATTGTTTGTTTGTTTTTTGTGTTATTTTTGGTAGAATTTGTGTGAGAATAGGAAAATACTTTCTAGTATTGCTGAGAAGTTACACATGAGCTCCCAGGTTCCTGTGCTGGTCTATTCCAGCCTTTACCAGATATGTAATGGACATGGCTTTTATTAGGCTGATTGATAACTAATGTGTCGACATACACACACACACACACACACACACACACACACACACACCCTGTAGCTTGCTCCTTGTGTCACCTTGAAAAGTTTCAGTGATCACTGCTTTCATTTAATAAGTATATGGGGCTGGAAAGGTGGCTCAGTGGTAGAGCACTTGCCTTGCATGCCTGAGGCCCTGGGTTCAATTCTTCAGCACCATATAAGCAAAAAGAAAAAAGCCAGAAGTGGTGCTGTGGTTCAAGTGGTAGAGCGCTAGCCTTGAGCTGAAGAGCTGAGGGACAGCGCCCAGGCCCAGAGTTCAGGCCTCATGACTGAACCCCCCACCCCCCAAAAAAGTACATATTAGATAAGAATGAACAGTTCCCGAAATTGAGGTCTTTGGAAAAGGACTTAGTAGTGTTTCTTCTGGTATAGTTGCGGGTCCCAGTGTCTTAACAAGTCTAAGACTGGACTCCTGTCCAGTTGCTTTTAAAATAACTAAATGAAGTTCAAATCAAAAGTCACCTTTCAAAGACTTTTCAGTTATCCAAGTGTAATCAGAGAGCAGTACTTTATACCCAGTGCCCTGAAAGCCTAATTATTTCCTTCAGAGACTCCTGTTTGGCTCAGGGCAAGTGTAACCACTGGGTTAAACTGCATCTTGGTGGGCTTTCTGGGCAAGGAGGTCCCAAGGGCTGTCTTAGGCACAAGTGGCTTTGCAGCAGGTGCAGGGATGTAGACAGGCTGTGACAGGAGCTTTTCACCCCTGAGGGAAGAACAGCTGATGAGTCTAATGTCACAGCCGGAGGAGATTTGGACACCTGCGTCCTGATGCATGGAAGATGCCACTTCCATGAGCGGGTGGCTGCCGCCATGGCCATCTGGTGTGGATTCCAGCCTGGGACAGCTACTGGAGGTGCAGATTTAGCCGCCAGAACAGCCAGGGGCCCTGCCAGGAGGAGAGGGGAACTTAACACCCCTGTGGGAGTGGCTTTACTTGGCTCTCTCTCTCTTTTCTTGGGAAATGGTGAAGGATCCAGGGCGCTGGCTTCTGTCCCTTCTCTCCTTCCATCCCGGGGCGGGTGAGATTAGTGAAAGCTTTGCTGGATGGGAGCCGCTCCAGTGCTGCTCAGGGGCCTGGGAGGGGCCTTTCTCCTGAGCCGCCACTGGGTGTGGCCTGCCTGCTGGCTGGGGATGCCATCTCAAGATGTACAGAGGCTCCCGCTGTGAGACTGTGGACATACTGTGCCTGTATACCTTGTCAAGGTCTTTAGACTGTGTGAAGCTCAGGCTTTGGTCACCCAGGAGCTCTCGCTGTGTGCTCAGCTCTGTCAAGTGCTGGGAAGACTGTGGTCTCCCAGGCCTGCTTCTCAGTGTGTGAAAAGGGGAGGTGAGGAGCCTCCTGGACACGGTGGGAGGGGGGTGGGGGGGAGGACTCCCCAAGTGCCCAGCACAGACCAGCACAAGCCTGCGAGGTTCAAGCATGTGGAGTCACTCACGGGGGGATCTATCCTCCAGATGCTCCACCCCCTCCCTGGGGGGGGGGTGTTGGTAGGAAGAGATGGCCCTGCTCTTGACCTGCCCTTGTGATATCCTCCAGTCTTGCTCCATGGTTTTTCTTCTCAGGATCCTCTGTAGCCAAGCCTGAGCAGGGAGGCACAGGCTTTGCCTTTCTATGTGAGGCGTGTACCAGCCTGGTTTTGGATTATCCTGACTTGAGCTCTTACTAGATGGAGACCTTGGCCAAATCACATAATCTTCTGCCTTTCTTTCCATTGTACTTGTAAAATAGAATCATCCCAGGTCTGGAGTCAGGGAATCCGGTAAGAATTTGAGGGAGGTAGAGTATATTCAAGAGCACAGCATCTGCAGTGAATGGTTAGCTTTACCTGCTGGGGACAAAATAGGACTGGTTGTCCTTTCTTCCACTGCAGATCCTAAGTTTTCACCTTCAGCCAGTACCTGTGCAACTTTCATTAGCACCAGGAGCTCAGGGACAGGCTGCCCCAGGGAGGCGGGGCAGCGGCTGGCTATAGACTCGGGGTGGGTTCCTCAGAGGATGGAAGAGAGTGGCTGGAGCTTGGCAGAAAAGAAAGCCTTGACACTTGCTGACCAGGAAAGATCCAGCCCTTGAGCCTCTCACCTACACAGGAGAGGAAGGTGGATGTGAGCGGCTTGTTCTTCCTCTCCTACCACAGCTCTTTTGCTTTTGGTTTACTTGATTACCTGTATTTTTTCTTAACATGTGAAGTATGATTCAACCTGTAATCTCCTTCTCCCTACATAAACACATATATACAACAACAACAACAACTACTACTTCACAGGCTGAAAATATTTACCTGGACAGAGTTGTAGTGAGCATCTTCAGGAAAAAGAATTATTTGTCTCATATGGGCCTGTTGGTTGTGATAGGCTGACCTCTAGAACCTTCTGGGCTCCCATAGTCAGGCTGACCAGAAGGAGGCAGAGTTTATACTCTGAAGCATGTTATGTGTTTGCAGGGTGAAAAATCCGTGCAGCTTTTGAAGAGTAGTTTGGCAGTTTAAGTCCCAAAACCTTAAATATAGAAACAACATTTGCCCCGGTGAGTCTTACATTTAACAATACTGCCAGACGGTTTCAAACATGTTATTGAACAATACGTTAAAGGAAACATATTATTTAACAATAATGAAGAACTGGGAATGACTGCTCTGTCCAACATTTGAGGATTAGTTAAATAAATGATTGTGTATCCATGTAACGATATGCTGCTTAGCATTTAAAGAATGAAGCTGTAGGACAGTCAATATAGAAATCAAATGAGAAAAAGCAGCTTCTAAAAAGCATGTGAATGGCATAAGCTATATATATATATATGTATATATATGTACACACACACACATATATATATATATATGTATCTTTTTTGGTGCTTCTACTGGGGCTTGAACTAGGGGCCTTACATTTGCTCAGCTTATTTGGATTTTTTTACTCTTGGCTGGCATTCTACTACTTGAACTGTACCTCTCGTTAATTAGAGATAAGAGTCTCACAGTCTTATACCTTGATCCTCAGATCTAAGCCTCCTGGGTAGCTAGGATTACAAATAATGTGCCACTGTGCCCACCTAAGCCCTATTTTTTTAATTAAAGGAGCATATTTAAACTAAGGGCCTTGGACAAGTGGAAGCTGACAGTTTCTGACCTCCATGTCTGGCATGTTCTACTTGTCAGTGTCTGTTCTCAAGATCATCTGCATTGGAGCATGTGCCAGCTTTTCTTTCCTTTCTGGGTCTATATCCCATTGTCTGTGTGGGCTACATTTGTTTTATCCATTAGGTTCCTTTCACAATGGCTATTGAGAATGATTTTGCTTTGAATATGAGTGTCATAGTCACTGTGGTGACTAAGACAGAATACCATAGACTGGGGAGGGGAGCTTATAAACAACAGAAGTTTATTTCCTATGGTTCTAGGGTCTTTGAAGTTCAAGATCAAGACATCAACAAATTGAGTGACTGGCTTAAGGGCCCTCTTGCTAGCTGAGTCTTCACAGAGTAGAAGGACACAAGGAGCTTTTGGGGGGAATCTCTTTTATAAGGGTGCTGCTAATTCTATTCATGGCAGCTCTGCTCTAATCACCTGCCCCAAACCCTACTTCCTCTTTCTACCACCTGGAGAAGGAGTTTCAGCATACAGATTGGGGGCGGGGGAGACACACAAGCATTCTGTATACAGCACTTGGTGTTCAGGTATCTTTCGGAGTTCCTCTTATATAAAAGATTGTACATTTCTTCCACAGTGAGAAGTATTTCATGGTGCTATTTGCACACATGCTCATAATATACTCAGAACAAATTCTTCTCTGCTATCAGATTCCCATTCTTCCCGAGTCCCTGCTTTTAATTCTTTTGGGGTTGTGTCTTGAGCAGTGGAATTGGGTTGGGGGGAGGGGGTCCTACGGCAATTCTGTACTTAAATTTTCAAAGAACTGCCATACTGGATCACTTCTCCCCCTCCCCACGGCCTCAGGTGCCAGCATTAGGAGGGAGGTGCTCTGTGGCTACACTAATTCCCTCCCTCCCTGTCTCTTGGAGCACAGGCCAGTCCATTGTGGGCTGCAAGGCCATCCTCATTGATGACCAGGTGTTCGTGGTGGTGGCTCAGCTCTTCGGCGGCTCTCACATTTACAAATACGACGACAGTTGGACCAAGTTCGTCAAATTCCAAGACATAGAAGTCTCACGCATCTCCAAGCCCAATGACATCGAGCTCTTTCAGATTGAGGACGAGACATTCTTCATCATCGCCGACAGCTCTAAAGCCGGCCTGTCCACCGTGTACAAATGGAACGGCAAAGGCTTCTATTCGTACCAGTCTCTGCATGAGTGGTTCCGGGACACGGATGCCGAGTTTGTGGATATCGAAGGGAAATCACATCTCATCTTGTCCAGCCGCTCGCAGGTCCCCATCATCCTACAGTGGAATAAAAGCTCTAAGAAGTTTGTCCCCTACGGCGATATCCCCAACATGGAGGACGTGCTGGCTGTGAAGAGCTTCCGGATGCAGAACACCCTGTACCTGTCTCTCACTCGCTTCATCGGGGACTCCCGGGTCATGCAGTGGAACAGTAAGCAATTCGTGGAGGTCCAGGCCCTTCCGTCTAGAGGCGCCATGACACTGCAGCCCTTTTCTTTTAAAGATAACCATTACCTGGCCCTGGGGAGTGACTATACGTTCTCACAGATATACCAGTGGGATAAAGAGAAGCAGCTATTTAAAAAGTTTAAAGAAATCTATGTGCAGGCACCCCGTTCCTTCACAGCTGTCTCTACCGACAGGAGAGATTTCTTTTTTGCATCCAGTTTTAAAGGGAAAACAAAGATTTTTGAACATATCATTGTGGACCTAAGTTTGTGAAGGTGTGATTGGTGTGTTTAGATGACATATAGCATTAGCAGTCACAAGAGAGAGGACCAAGAGGAAATACAAGAAGATAATGAAATAAAACAAACCAAGCTCAACAGCTCTGAAATTAAATTTTTTTTTAAAAAAGGCATTCGGGGGTAGGGTGGGGGGGAATAGTTAGAAGTTTGCAAACTTTTAGATCTCACATTTTAATCAGGGATTGCATTTATTGGCTTAACTGCATGACATGTTCCTACCATTTCGAAAAGACATCTTTAAGCCTGTAATGTGAGGGAAGAGGGCTGTGTTAATTCTTCTCACCATCTAGGAAGTAATATAACTTTGGCTTTCTGTTTAATGAAGAACGAGAACCATTGGATAAGATGAGACAGTACTAGTGAAAACATTTAAAAACCAAACCCAAATCTCCTAAACCTCCCTTCCCATTCTGTTTTCAAAGTCTTATTGGTAAGAACTGTTAAAGCCAAAGTCAGCTAAAAACATTTGCTGATGATTAGTTGAAAAGTCTTAGAACACTCAGCAATGCTATTTTGAGCCATCTGAGTTTCCTGAAAGTAGCACCCAGTCTTCCGGAGTCTTCTTTAAAACAGGACCTTGGTTGTTAAATTGGTTCCTGGATGGATGCTCGCCAGGAGCATGCTAACAGTTTGACATGGATGCCTCTGACACAGAGAACATATCCTGTGCATATATGCCAAAGCCAGCATGGGCTATGGGCCCAGCGGTGAGACAGAGGACCTTTTCCCTGTTCTTTGGGGTTCAAAGCTGACCCTCGTGGTGGGCAGAGCATAATGTTTGTTTGATGCGCTCCATGACTCATCTGCTTCTCCGAACCCATCCTTTGAGTTTGTATGTAACCAGCAGACAGGCCAAAGACTGAAGGTGCTTTTTATCTATCCTTTAGAGGGAGGGAACGGGTGTTTCCATCTGATGTGTATTTGGTAGGGTTTTTGAAGTGAGATTTTAGAGTCGAAGGGGACCTTACTCAGATCTCCATGTGCTTTGAAACCCAGAGGGGGCCTTTTGATGGATGCATGCCTTTGCCCTCTGAACAACTTAATAGATCAAGTAATTGAATAGCAACCTGCCTACCTGCCCACCTGCCAACCTCCCGCCTCCTAGAACAGCCCTGCTTTGTGGAGCTGCTGGTGTCGCGGCTGCTGGTGCAGCCTCAATGGAAGTTGCTCTGCACACAGAATCACAGCTGGGGACACCCACGGCAGGAACACGCCTTCCCTTCCCAGCACTTTAGCAAAGGATGCCCAGGGTGCACACTCTCACAGAGGGCCGGCTGGTGGTGGCAGGTCATCCCGTAGAGGCAGAGTCCACCAAGGGATGTCAATGGGAGCCAGACAAGTGTCGTCCACTGCAGTAGGGGGCCAGGCGACCTCTTACAAAGTGGGTCCTGAGTGTGGATGACAGGGAAGTCATGGAACCTGGTTCTGTGGATGGTTCTTTAGTAGATGTTATGCCTGGGTAGTCAGTTCTCAGTGTGAAGCCAGTGTTAGGGGTAGACTTTACAGGGTACTCCATCAAATACTGCCCAATAGCCACAGATCAGCAGAAGGACATTGTATTGTACAATTGTGTTTCAATGATCATCTTAAGTCTTGGCAGATGTGCTCCAAATAGGAATGAATGTGTTGTTGTTTTCTGACTTGAAGCTAAGCAGACAGAGCAGTCAACATCCCCGAGTTACATCCACACTCTCGGGAACTGTGTTGGCTGAAGCTTTCGACGACTAGGGAGTTTAGTGGATTTGCTCACCCACATTTAGACATGTGGTTGTTTAGAACTTCGCTGCTAAATACTAAGCAAATGGAGAATGTGGCTTGTTGTCATCTTGTAATCACTCTTTGCATTCTTTTGCCTTCTTGGCTTATTTGGACTGATTGTGAATGCCCCACGTAGTCAGAGATGAAAGGTCAAAGGTGGGTGAGATGTTCTACCATTCTTGCAACTGCAGGCAAGCAATGCTATCTGGTATGGAACCCTTCAGGCGGGCCTGAATGGAGAAGGGTACTGGACAGACAGTACAGGGAACATTGAGACAATCCTAGCTCTTGTGCCTGATTGAAATAACTTCCCAGAGCCTGTTGTGTGCAGAGGAGGTACCAGTGGTGGCATCTTTCATAGTGCCATGCTTCAGTTTTTCAATGGGACCTTAGAAGGTGAAGTCAGGGACTAGCGTCTGCACTAGCCATGCTGGTGACCACTGGTGCACCCAATAAAGTATTAAGGTGAATGAAAGACCTGGAGTAGGAGATGAGAGAGCTGGAAATCCAGCCCATTGCAAACAAAAGTTTTGTTTATTTATTTTCTTTAAGTTTATCCAAGACTAGCATCTGGAATCTACTGAGTTCGTTCTGTGCAAGGGGAAGGGATCCTTTGCTCTGGCAGGCTTGTCCGAGGAAGATGCACTTCCCTGGCACAAGGCAGCCAGGGCTTTGCTTCGTTCAGCTCCCTGTCCCTTCACAAGATTTCTGCAGTGTTAAGCAGTTTCTGCTGTAAGCTTTCTTTCCGTCATAATGTAAACCCAAAAGCCAAACAGCCACCAGAAAAAGCCCATGGCTGAGAAGTATGAGGCCCTCCCCTGGGTAGCTCCGCAAACCCCAGCTGCTCTTGCTTTTTCCTTCCCATCAGCCCTTGGTGTCACTGGCTCTGCTCATCTGTTAAAGCTTTCTCATCCTCGTGTCTGTTCTTTCTCATCACAAAGTCATGTAGCTTTCAGGTTTTTACGTCAAAGTGAGGATTTGTTCCCAGATTCCAAGGGATTGGGAGGTTGTCTCTAGAAAGACTCAAACCTTTGACGTGAAGAGTAGTGTTACATTCTTGAGTGGTGTTACAATCACCTTGTACCTGGTGTGGTGGCTCACTAATCTTACCTACTCAGGATGCCAAGATCTGAAGATCATGGTTTGAAGCCAGCCCAGGCAAGAAAGTCTGTGAAACTCTTATCTTCAATAAATTACCAAAAAATCTGGAAGTAGAGCTGTGGCTCAAGTGGTAGAGCCACTAGCCTTGAGCTAAAGAAGCTCAGGGACCATGCCGAGGCCCTGTGTGCAAGTCCTAGGACCCGCACAAAGATCACCTTGCACTTCTGCAAAGCTTGGTTTTTTTCTATGTGCATTTGGGCTCTTCTGTTCACACATTTCATACAGAAGAAAACAGGCACAGTGGATTGGCTGCTGTGGCCACCCAGTAGTGAATGGGAAAGCTGGAACATTTCCTCTGAACAGCAGGCATTGTAATCCTCTGCCCTCCCAAAGAAAGACTTCCATTGTTATCATGTCTGTGGGTACCTCAGTTCCAATAAAACACAACAAGTGAAAATAGAGACAAAACAAACAACAAGGAAATATGCAGAGGCAGGAAGAAAACCATGCAGAGTAGACACCCTCTACCAGTTAATCTAACAGTGAGTAAACACCACGGAACTGCAGCGGTAGGCAGCACCCTCCTCAGAAACTCTTCTAGAACTTTCGGATTGCTCATTCTTGTTCACAGTGGGGTTGCTAGCCGGCACGGTTGTTTCTTCCCACTTGGCTAAGGGAGGGGTGCTGAGGTTTGATGAAGCTGGGTCTTATCAGGGTGTTCACCAGATAGAAAAGATGAGTTCTGAGAGAGAGAAATGAAGAACCCGTATCCACAAGCGATGATGACTTGCTTGTGGGCTTAGCCTTCAGGCAGCACACTGACAATGACAGCATCCCGCTCTTCTTCCCAGCTACAGAGAAAGATGCTGGGGATTTGTAGGAAAGAAATTCGTGTGGGATAGCAGAGGTTTGGCTCTCAGGAATGCTGCTCAGGGATGGAAACTTCTGAAAGGCATAGGAAACAAGAAATTAAAAAAAGAGTCACACAGATAGGGGGATGCAGATCTGCTGAGGACAGTTGATTTGCATGTCCTCTAAAGAACATCTCTAACAGAATTCCTAATTCAACTTCGCAGACATGCGTTCCTTGTTTGTAGTTTTGGAAGAAAGTTTGTAGACAGTGGTCAGAGATATTCCATTTAGCATTACCTTGGAGTGATAGGCCACAGGCACAGGTATAATGAGAAAGAGCTGGTCCAGAGTTGGGAGGCCATGGGGGGAAAACAGGCAGAGGACTGTGGTGGGAACTGAAGGAAAGAGAGCATGGTGCTGGTGATTTCCTTTGTCTCAGCCGCTCCAAGCAAAGGGAGGGTGAACAATGGCTGAACAGCAGCCCACATCCTCGCATGAGGCGAGGGAGACAGGGCCCCTCCTCCTGACTGCCGTCCAGTCCGATGCTCCTGTCAGAATCCACCTTAGTAGGACACTATGCGTTCCCGCTCTACCCCTCTAACTATCAGGAATGTACACAAACCGGGATAAAGTAGGCCAGTACGCTATTTGGTACTGTTTTTATGTGTTTTAAATCCATAACTTAGGATTAAATAAGAATAGTTTATATGTATATGAAAGTACATTTTGCAGTAGGCAGCCAACAATGGATGCATTTTAAAGATAGATATCGATATCTATATAGATTAGCTATATAGATATCAATATCTGTATCTTTTTTTTTTTTTTGTAAACTGAGTTGACACGTGCGTGAAATGCCTCTTGACTCAATATATTCTGTAAGCCTGTGAATAAAAACTAGTTCATGCCTCACTTCCCCCTGCTCTCTGGTCTGCTTGAATGAGACATGTCGTGAGTCAGGGTGAAGCCACCACAGGCCTACGCGGCTCGGGAGGAGACAGACAGCTTGGCTTGGTTGTTTCAATGGTGGCTTTTGGTTTCTTCTGTTGGGAACTAAAAATTCATCTCAAAGTCACGAAACACGTACTGACGGACGCCACAAGATGGAAGGACGCCCCTTCTGATCTCTGGACTCAGAGTCCTGACAGACTGGCCAAGCACGGTAAGAATCTGAGAAGCTGCTGACTCCACATGGTGACAGGAGGTGAGGTGGGGTTGGACACTGAACTTTGACCTCTGCCCTCTGTAGGTCTGGAGTCACAGGGTAGGTCTGTAGTACATTGTTGCTACATAATCTAAGACCTGTGAGTTTAAATGGATAAGGAAGGACCAGGACTCCAAATGACGTGTGACCGTGTACCTACAGTATGTCAAGTACCTTGATAAACTGTGAGCTTTAAAAAAGTGTGAGAACAGTTGAGCACTTGTGGTTGATGTCTGTAATCCTAGGTACTTAAGAGGCTGAGACCAGAGGACCATAGTTTCAAGCCAGACTATGGTCCTTTATCTCCAATTAACCAGCAAAAAGCCATGCTAGAGGCATGGCTCATGTGGTAGAGCACTAGCCATGAATAAGAAAGAAAGCAGAGTGAGGTACTGAGTTCAAGCCCTAGTACTGGCAAAAATAAGGACGGTGGGGAGGCAAAAACAGAGTTTGGCATTTTAATCTAGTCAGAAAGTCATCTTTACATGAACTTCTTGTCCACAATGCAAGGTATAGATTCAGTTCTGTGTTCTAAAGCCCAGTGAGTAGTTGAGCAATGAATGAGATCGTTAGGGGTGATGACCATGTAGTTAGTGACTAGTTTGGCATGGTGTAGT